CCCAGTGTGATAAAGTCCTATGAGCTTGTGTTGTTCCCTTCACAGAATTAAAGCTTCCAGTTCAGAGGATTTGCATTTCAGGTGAATTTGGAACTTCATTTTAGAAAGTAAGATGGTAGATTGGGGTGACAGAATGCTAGAATATACAACTGGGGAGTGGGATGTCATTTTAAATGCTCCCCAATCTTTTAAAAAATTCCCTGATTATTTTTTTAAATTAATGTTATTAAACAGCACATCACTGAAAATTGTATGCTATGGGACAGAAATCATGTAGTCCCCCAGATGACATTGGACTACATCTGCCAGCATGCCTCATCACTGGCTATTCTGGCTAGGGCTGCTGAGTCTTGCAGTCCAACACCATCTAGAGGGCTAGATAATTCCCACCGCTGTGCTAAAACCTTGAGCCTATGGACAAAGTTAATATATGCAGCATCCTTTTTACACAAGGGATATTTTTTTTAAAAAAAAATCACACATGTATACTGAGATGAAAGTAGACAACCTGTTCTGCAACCTGTTGCCTGCATGTAACCAGGCCTGAGCAGTAACCCTGAAGCTGAAATCCTTCACCCCATGAATACTTTCCAAATTGCTCCATATGCATTTAGCATTTCTTCTTAGTTTACAAGGGATTCTTTCACACTACACAATTATAGCATAATGATTCCATTTCAACTGCTATGACAACATCCTATGGAATCCTGGGATGATGATGATATTATTGATATTATTGTTGTTGTTGTTGTTATTGTTGTGTATTTTGACTTTCAGCCAGAGAGCTCTAGCACCTCACCAAAATGTAAACCCCACAATTCAACAGGATGCCGCCATGGTAATTAAAGCAGAAGCATAGCACTATTTTTGTATAGTGCGAAAGGACTCTAAAATGGAAAGCAAGAGATTCACTCTATAGGAACACTGTTCAAGTAATGGGAAGGGGAAGGTGAGTAAGAAAAGAAATCAATACTGGGGGATTTCACAAAACATGGGAAACACTGCATTGGTCACCAGATCCTTTAGTGTTTGCAGAAACAGCTAGTAAGGCATATTTTTAATCCCCGAATGTGCACTGACAGAAGTTATATTCCCTCTTACAAAATTTCTGGGGGGAAAAGATTGCACATATCTATCCCTTTGGCCTTCATGAGCTCAATCCCCCAAGGAAGATCTTTTGCACATTTTTTTGGACACTCACATTAAAATTTGGAGAAGTGGAGGGAGCCAAATGTTCAGAGGAGCCCCAGGCTCTCTCAGTAGCAACAGAATCATGGTAGTCTGTTAGCAATAGCAACATCATTTACGTAACTATATTGATTAATAGTGAACTCAGCACTCTCTATGTGGTTTACATTCTGTAAGACAATTGCCTCCAACAAGCTGGGTACTTATTTTACCAACCTATGAAAGGATGGAAGGCTGAGTCAACCTGGAGCCCTCTGGGATTGAATTCACAACGTTGTGGCTGCAGTACCATCATTTAACCACTGTGCCACCAGGACTCCTATTTGAAGAAATATGAGAAAGCCATTAAGAGGGGCAGGGAGTGGGGTATTCTGGCAAAATACACACTGGTCATAGGCATGTGCAAATGCATTAGGCACTGCATTTTGGTGCACAACCCACTCATACTCCCATTCATTTCAGTGGCAGGCTATGCAGAAGAACTTCCTGGAAGACTGGGCTCATGTTTGCATACAAAGATTTTGTCTCCAGAAACCAACAGTGAGCTTGGCATTTTTCATAGCAAATGAAATTCAAAAGCACATTTTTAAATACTTTCACAGAAATAGTCATTCATCAGTTTAAAAGTACTGTATAGAAAGACCTTTTATTCTTTCTATTGTGAGAGGAAAAAAAAGCCAGCATCCATTTTCACATTTTGGGCAGGGTTGTTTGTCTTGTTTTGTTTTAAAGGAGGAATTATTCAAAGCTTGTTTAGATAAAGAAAAGACTGCAAAAGTGGGGGTCCTATGGTGTACTTTTTTGGCAGAAGTATCAAATATGAGATTTTTTTTGTAAAAAATGGTGTAAAAAGTAAACAAAGACAAATAATTGCAATGATATAAAATACAACTTGGTCATCAAACCTTATAAAATTGACTTTGGAATTAACAATTGGCAGTCTAACACAGAGAGACACAAAGAGTCGCACACGCACAAACACAAACACAAAAAAGACCTTCCTAGAAAAATCACAGAACGAGAAGAAGTTCATAAATTAGGTTGCAAGGGGTTATCAGATCCTTTGCTTGTCTCTCCAAAACTCCCTTTCTTCCATGTTCGTCCACATCATGAGCATAACCAATGAGGTATATAGAGGACATTAACACTTTTGGGTGTACGCACAACAGAAGAAAGTGCATCATCAAAGACCACCCATATGGATGGGTTGAATCTACATGATTTTGTTTTCCCCTCCCCCCTCCCCAAAAAGGCACAATCACCCTTTTTTTTCTTTTTTTTTTCTTTTTGCTTTGGCATGGTCATGAATTTGTTCATCTTCAGTTCCAAGCAGCAGTGATCTTTTTTTCCCTTGATGATATCAAACTCAGTGCCACAAACACTAGAAAGTTCATTCTCAGGCCATTTGAAACCTGATTGGGTCATTTGAAGAACTTCCCATGGGCAGCCAGTAAAAAAGATATATATTTTAAAAAATAAAGACACAGTGGTCAAATCATACATCGAGCACCATGTCGTACTGCTGTTCTTTCTTCCGCCGACCACATTTGGTGATAAGAACCAAGTACAAAGTCAAAAGCATCACCCAGTAGCAGGCGTAAAGTATCGTACCGATAATCAGCACTGTCTGTTTTGATTCGGAAAATGGCTTTTTGGATTCCTTGTATATTGTGAAAATAACACCACCTAAGAGGATTGTAAACCAAATAGACACAGGGATGAGTCCAATGAAATTGACCACAATAGTTTTTCTCCCCGATGTGCCCCATCCCGCTTTGTTTATCGTGGCAATTGCGAACATCTTGGCTGGAAGTAAACTTGACATGTACAACACTGAGTAAAGGGACATAAACACCATGACAATGTTTCCTCTAAGACAGCTGGCAAAGGAAGACTTGATAAGGCCCACAAGCTGAACTGTCAACAAGAAAAGGAGGATGTTCCACAGCTTCCCTCGGTAGAAAAGCTGAATGACAGTGGCAATGAGAAAAAATGGGAAGAACCCAGTGATGACCGCTTCGTAGGTCATCCACAAATGATGCTTGTGGAACCACATTGCATTGTATAGCCACTCTCGGAAATAGGACTTACTCCAACGGGTCTGTTGGTTCAACCACCTGAGATATTCTATGGGTGTTTCTGTAAGGCACTTTGATCGAGCTGTGTATTTTGTTGCATAGCCGAGGCTCAGGACTCGGTTGGTGAGATGTCTATCATCTCCAAAGCTACACTGAGATCCCATGAATTCTTGATTGTACCAGTCTTCCACAAATTCATGGAGTAAAGAGTTTCTGTACATCCCCAAAGGTCCGCTGATGCACTGGACGCAGCCAAAGTAGGATTGGCAGGCTCTTTCAATATTAAACGCCATCCAGTATCTAACGCTGCTGAGGAAGGAGATCCACGAATCATATTTGTTCAAAATCTACAAGCAGCATTAAAGGAAAGGAAGTTTAAAAATTAGTTCCAAAAAAAAAAAAAAGAAGAACATGGGATATAAATGTCATAAAAATAATGCTACCAATATTATTTTTAATAATTTGATCTTCTCCCCCTGCATCTTTTCATGCATTTTATTTTGGTTTCCATATGTCTAATAACAATATTAAACATATTTGTTAAGTTTTTCATATGTAGCAGTAGTTCTGAAATTATGCATCGAACTACACATATTACCAGGACTTAACATCTTTTCCCTCTTACAATGAGGTTTCCTCAGAACTTCATGTTTCAACACTGAGGGCCTTTGCAGACTGCCAGAAATAGTGCAAATTGAGTCCACTTTAACTGCCCTGACTCAGTGCTAGGGAATCATGGGAACTGTACTTTATTGTGACACCAGAGCTCTCTGACAGAGAAGGCTCAATGTCTCAAAAAAAAAATACAATTCCCATGATTCCCTAGCACTGAGCCAGGGCAGTTAAAGTGGACTCAATTTGCACTATTTCTGGCAGTCTGCAAAGGCCCTGAGACTTGCAAATTAAGCCCATTCTTATCTTCCAATGATAAAACAAAGTAATATTCCAAATAGATGGTTCAGCACAAACATATGCTATGACAAGTAGGCAAATCACATGCTTTTTCAACACTGGGGGACTCTACTCTGACCCTATGTTTGGGTAAAACATAGAATTGCTCAGTAGCTTATCAGGAGTTATTTAAGGAGAAAATTAATAGTATATTAACATCCCTTATCTTAGTATGGTACAGTGGTTTGAGGATTAGACTGTGACTCTGGAGACCAGGGTTCAAATCCCTACTCAAGCATGAAAACTCACTGAATGACCTTGGACAAGTTACACACTCTCAGCCTCAGAGGAAAACAAGCAAATCTCTGAACAAATCTTGCCAAGAAAACCCCATGATAGGTTTGCCTTATGGTCTCCATAATTTGAAAATGTCTTGAAGGTACACAACAACAAGGGGCTGAGAGTGCATGGCTCAACCAAAGACACTCAGTGGGTTTCCATGGCCAAGCAGGGAACTGAACCCATTTCCAGAGTCATAATCCAATGCTCAAACCACTACACCACATGGTTCTCACATGACATAAAAGTTGTATCTAATGAAGATGAATGTTGTGTAGTGTGTTCGATTCCAGAAATAAAAATTGACTTCTTGTGGAATATATTTAATAAGAACTGGATTTAATTTAATAATGTCAGTAGCTCTTCCGAAGGCTCCTACTAAACACATCAACATTTGATGCCCCAAAACACATTACAAATTATCTACGTCATAGCTTAAAATGTTTCTTTGCTTTTTGTGCTACATACCCATGTGCCTGACAATGGGTAAATTTCCAAGAGAGATAAGGAGAAAGGGGGGGGGAAATCTTGAGTATGTGTGTATTAATACAATAATAAATATATCTATTTCTTTTTACTTTTTTTCATTTTGCATGATTGTATTACTTTTGTGGTTCTCCTTTATGCTTCAACCCTTGTTTGTGGAAGCAGGGCAGGATAGAAATCCAGTTAAACAAGTAAATAAAATGTTCCATTTTACTACAAGGAGATTAACCTTGCAAAATTTTATGGCTGAAACTGAAGTGTTCCTTAACGTAAGAAACAATATTTGATACAAAGTCTGAATCACTATAAAAGTTGTTCATATTCACCTGAACATCTCCACCAACACCTCCAACCATTGGATCTTCTTCTAAAACCTTTACCATTTCCACTGATGAAGCTGGATCAAGCATTGTATCAGAATCACATACCTATCCACAAGGAAGAAAGAGTAAAATTATGTGCTGAAGTTGCTGAAAAGTAAAACTACAAGCAGCTGAATATGACCTGCTGTTGGTTTTTGAGATCTTTTATGAGCAATGTCCTCTTGTGGAACCTAAGGTGGGCTTCATGTAGCCCTGCCTGACATACTCCTCTCTTAGGGTGCATCAACACTGACTAAAAATATCAACCTCACCTTGCATTTTCTAGGTCCACAATGATCACAGAGGAAAATGGGAGAAAGAGAGAGAAACGATGACCTTAGGTTGATGGTGTCCTCAGGCTGGGGTCTGTTGTGGGTACAGCTGGTACCTATTCTTCCTAATCTCAACTCTACAAGCAACTGATGGAGGAGCATTTGCGGCACAATTTGGGATTGCCTTGCTTCACTGGCCAGGAAGGAGGAAGAATAGCAGTGTCAGCCAACCATGATCTCAGCACACAGACCCAAATATTTGGTAATTCCACTTTGCTGATTACTAAATGCTCAGAGCAGGGGTTGGCAACCTACGGCCCCCAGGCCCGGTTCCAGCCCAGGTCGCCGGATTTACCAGCCCAGGCGGACCCCTGCCACCGCCAAGCGCCACCGCACGTTTTCGGCTCCGTTTTTAATTTCCAAAATGGCGGCTGCGACTCGTTTGCGCATGCGCAGTACTCCTGCGCATGCGCAAATGCGCCATGGCCGCCATTTTGGAAATCAAAATATCGGCCGCAACATGTGCGGCGGTGGTGGCAACGCGCACGGGGGGGTCTCGTGTGGCGGGGGAGTGCACGCTGCCATTCCCCCCCCCTCAGCCCGGCGGAGAAGAGGACTTTGGGGGACCGGCCCAAGGATGAAAAAGGTTGCCTACCCCTGGCTCAGAAGTTGGTGTGTTGGGAGCAAGGCTGTTGTTGGCTCTCAACAAATCAACCAATATGGGATTTGGACTAGACTTCAAGCCCTCAAGGATGGGACATCCCATAGAAACCCTGTGCATGACAATATTTGAATTTTGAAGACTTCAAAATACACACATTTTCATAGTGCAGGATGTAAACCCACACTTTCAGAAGGTCTTACTCAACTCACTGTAAAAAACAAAAACCCTCAGTGAAATATTGAAATTGCTACTTCTTTTCAAGCAACAAAGAATCCACCTCCTAGAAACAATTCCCTAATGTAACTGAACCAAAGAAATGTAATTTCATGTACATGAAATAGCAGTTATTTATTTGTTTATTTATTTATTATTGTATTCATACGCTGCTTTTTTCCTGGAGTGGGACCCAAGGTAGCTTACAGAAGAGACCAGTTAAAACCTGACACAATTAAAACTTGTCATATTGAAAAACACTATAAAATCATATTAAAACAGTATGAAATTATTTTTAAAACATATAAAAGTTAATAAATAAACATGTCATGTAGCTACCATGGCTGCAAAATAAGGGTGGGCAATGTATGACCTACCAAATATTGTTGGACTGCAACTCCCATTATCCTCACATTAGTCTTTGCTGGCTAGGGCTGATGGGAACTGCATTCCAGCAATATCTGATGGACTACCAGGTGCCCAACCCTTCTATATTTTTAGTTATTTCATTTATTTAATTAACTAAGGAAATGTTTGCTCCCAGATTATATGTATTTATTTTTTCAACACATTGCATAAAAGTACTTAGAAGTTAAGAAAAGTGGGGCATTGAGTATATGTATGGGAAGAAATATAACATTGTATATATGGGAAGAAATATAACTTTGCAGTTGTTCTGTTCTCCTTCCACTTTACAAAAAGAACTTTGATGCATCTGGTGTGCCTCCAATTCAAAAGTTTTCTTCTATCCTAGGGATGAGGGGAATGAGCCTACAGATGCATATTAAAAATGGCAGAAGATCTGGGAAGAAACCCAATAGCCTTTTATTATTCACAGAAGGTTTAACCATTCATGAATGAGATTGCTTGGGTCCCAGAAGCTAATTCTGCCATCCAGATTCCCTTGAACTTGCATTTCATGGAGCTCTGTGATAGAAAGCGCTCCTCCAAAACTATTTCTCATAATCACTTACTCCTGTTTTGAGCATTTAATGTTGTTCTCTTTGTTGTTATTGTTTTGACGGACTTGCTGACTTCACTTCTTGCATGTTTAAAATGTATTACAGGTATTGGCTTCCTTCTACTTTGGAAAAAAGAAAAAACCCACCACTGTTGTAAATATGAGTTAAGTGTTAATGAGCAGCTGCAGTCTTGAGCCCAAGGGACCCTATGCATATATGGAATATAGCATAAGGAGAGAGTATCTTATTTATGCAAGAGAAAATGTCAGTACTTCCTAGGGCTGGCAGTCAAGGGTTACATCAATCCCATTTCCAGCCTTTCAAAGGCTACTGAAGGGTGCATCTGCACTGTAGAAATAATGCAGTTTGACATCACTTTCAGTGCTGTGGATCCAGCCTATGGAACCCTGAGATCTGTAGTTTTACAAGGCCTTTAGCCTTCTCTGCCAAAGAGCGTTGGCGGCTCACAAAACTACCAATCCTAGGATCCTGTGGGATGGAGCCATGGCAGTTAAAGTAGTGTCAAACTGCATTATTTCTACATTGCTCCCTTTGAATCTCAAAATGTTCAGGGAGGGGAGACTTAATAGAATTGCAGCCCCTTGGAGTTTAGGGGGCATGTAATTCTCCATTTGGGGGCTGAATGAAAATTGACAATGGGGTGGGGAGGGCGTATTTAGAAGTGTGGCACCAGAGGGTATAGGCAGGATGAATGTGACCTAGAGACTGCAACGGATGATGAGATATATAAAGTAAAATGTTGGACCTGAACCGGGGTTCAAGACCCTGCCAAGTCCAAAGGTTAGGCGATTACCTTTTGTGACATCCCCTCCAACATTTCACAGATGAAAACCAGGATATATGCGGCCAAACATCAGTGTGTGGTCAAGATGACGAATGTTGTTAATTAGTAGGCTAGGAGATGCTGCAGCACTTTGCTTTTGCCTGTGCCTACTGGGAAGGGCAAGATTCAACCCCCTATTTTTTGTTCACCCTGCTGATCTGAGTGCAGTTTTTGCACTTTGAATTCAGTTTGCCATAACTGAAGTAAGCTAAGGACAAAGGAGGAAAGTGGGAGGGGAAAGAAAAATCAGCACATTTTAAAAGCTGCTGAAAAAGTGGGATGATAGAGGATTAATCAGACTGTTCCTGCCAAACTGGAACAATTGGAGATTATGGTGTGAGCCTCTGTTTCTTAGGTTAACCTACCTGGTAAACTTGTAGTAAGGATCAATGGGAATACACAACATGTACATCCCTTTTTGCTTTCCCTGGAAGACAGCAGTACAGTGGGCCCTTGGTGTCCACTGGGGTTTGGTTCCAGGATCCCCCCCCCCATGGATACCAAAATTTGTGGTTGTTCAAGTCCCATTAAATACAATGTAAAATAGTGTCTCCTAGATAAAATGGCAGAATCAAGGTTTGCTTTTTGGAATTTATAGTTAAATTCCAAACTAGTTAAATCCATGGATTTAACTAGTTGGATAGTTAAATCCATGGATAGTTAAATCCATGGATAAAGAATCAGTGGATACAGAGGGCTGATTGTATTCCATGAGAAAGGCTGAAACAGTTACCTTTTTGGACACTCACAACTTCTGGCTACTGCATGTTTGGCATAGTCCAAAAAAGTAACATTTCCAGGCTCTGATGATTTGCATGTTGACTGTGTCCCAGCTTCACTTTCTGCACTCTCCAAGCAGAGCTAGGAAAAGAAACCTCATCTAAAACTCTGGATAGGCACACCCAGCCAGTGTAAACAGTCCTGAGATGGATGGATCAACTTTTCCACTATGTTGAAAGGGAAGTAAAGGAGGAGGCATGCTAGAAGTGTATACATTTACATTCATTGAGTTTATTGGTAGTTGTGCAACACCACCCCATTTCTGAATTGTGATGCTGTACAACAAAATGTGCAACCATGACAATGCACATCAGTGGGCAAACATGGGCATTAATGTTCATCCTTGCACATGTACATCAATGTGCAAAAGAGTG